ACACACACACACACACACACACACACACACACACACAAGGGGGGGGCGCTGCGGGGTTATCAAGAAATAGCTAGATCATTCAGGAAGAGCAGAGTACGAAGAATAATAATCTAGGAAAAATACATTCAACCACCATGTCTAAAAGAATATAATAACAATGAGACAACACTACTTGATAATAAACACCTAGAAGGAAGCTGCCCTGTGGTCCTTTAATCATAGCCTGGAGTTAGGCATTTGGGAACATGAAGGTCTTGCATTGTCACAGTTCCTGTATTGAAAACAATTCTATTAGTTGAAAGTTGGATAGAAGTAAACACTTGAAAGAATGGGTATGAAACCCAAACTCTTGGGAAAACAGAAGCAAAAGTTCAGAAATGTTAAAAGGAAGACACTAGGCATCAGAAGCTTACTATGCCTACTGGGTTTTTTTTCCTGTGCAGCATTACATGCCATGGTCATTCTAATACAATTATACCCATGAGGGAATAATATGAAGATTTTCAGTTTATGACTGATTTTAAAATGAAACATTATATGGAAATGTTTGTAAAAACCGAGAAAAAGAGTATATAGTTATTAATGAAAAAATCAGGTTTGCAAACTAAGGTGACTATCTTGTCTTCCTTGTTAATATTTAAATCCTGCCTTAAATGTGTGATATATGTCTCTATAAGCTGACAGCTGCCAAGTTGAGATAATTCTGTCATGAAAATAATGTCAATCTCAGTTTAAAACTAATGCTTCTAAAATTTGGAAGATTTTTTTTCAGTATGTATAACTGAAATCAAGGAAAGAGACAATTCTCACTAGAGACAGTATTAAAGTTAAAATATCACAGAAACTTTTCAACTCTTCCCATCAATGGCCATGACATTGGAGAGAAATATTTACAGGATCAAGTCAAGGAATCTCTCTCTCTCTCTCTCTCTCTCTTGTTGTTTATGTTTTGATTTTTGTTTGTTTGTTTGTTTTGAGTACCGGGGATTGAACTCAGGACCTCGTGCTTGCAGGGCAGTTGCAGTACCACTGAGTTAAATCCCTGATGTTGTTGTTTATTTTTTGAGACATAGCCTTGTTATGTAGTTTAGGCTAGGACTGAACTCACTAGGTAGCCTAGGCTGGCCTCGAAATTGTGATGACCCGCCTGCCTCAGCCTCCTGAGTAAGTGCTGGGACTATAGACATGCACCACCATACCTAGCTCAGTATTTATTTTTTTTTCTGCTACCAGGAATCAAACTCAGAACCTTGCACTTGCAAGGCAGGCAGTGGAACCACTGAGCTAAATCCCCAGCCCTCAGCATTTCTTTTGACTGCACACAGAGGAAAATTCCACCCCTATGTCTTTCTAGTAATTAAAACAATGGTCAATAGTATGGTTTGGTGCCTAGCTGTCCCCCAAAGGTTCATGTGTTGAAGACTTAGTCCTTGGTGCAGTAATGTCCAGAGGTGGTTGCCTTTGGAAGGTGACAGGATCATGAGGATTCTGACTTCATGGATTCACAATTTAGTGAATTTTGGAGAAGAGGCTTTTTATAAGAGCAAGCTCTTTCTTCTTCGATTCTTGGCTGCCATGAGATGAGCAACTTTGCTTCACACATGACCCCACATTATGATATTTCTGCCTCACCACAGGGCTGAAAGCAATGGAGCCAGATGACCATGGACTGAAACCTCTGAAACTGTGAGTCAAGACAAATCTTTCTTCTTGTAAATTCATTTTCTCAGCTACTTTCTCACAGCAATAGAAATCTGACTAATAATGGCAATAAAGTTACTATTAAATTAGATAAAGAGCTCCCAAACAAATCATGTAAGAGTTAAACAAGCTAAAACAAGAATAAATTGTATTCTGCTTCAATTTTGTGGTGCTATAGCTGAATGTTGTGAAACTAGGCCTGACCACGGCAAGCCTGTTAATAACATATAGGGACAACACAAGGATTCGGCATTAAAACTCATACCACTTCATTCAGAAAGATACTCAAATAAATTTAAGGGAAAACAGAACAATTCTTTCCATGAGACTAACTCTTTTATCCCCATACAAACCATACCACCACACTCTCACAAAACAGAGTCCCTTAAATCAGTCATGTGAAGACAGAAGCAACACCCATCATAAACATAGGAGCTGACTATTAAATATGATTCAGGCACAGAGGCAGACTCTCCTTGTAGCTTAATTGTTCCTGACTTTGTCCCAAGGGTAAAGACCCATATACCCATATCTGCAGATTTTCTCCTCTGCTGACCAAGGATCACCCTCAGCCTTTATGGTTTTTCCAGATTGCCCGGAAGTATTAAAATGCCCATCTTGGGTTTCTAGTGTAAGGCTCCACTTGTGCTGTGGTCTAAATGTTTCTGTCCTGCCCCCTCCATACACCACACACACACACACACACACACACACACACACATGCTCAAAATTCATAGGTTAAAACCTAATTACAAAAATAACAGTACTAGAGCGTGGAACCTGCTGGGAGGTGATTAAGTAACAAGGGGTCCTCTCTCATGACTGGGATTAGGGCCAACATAAAAGAGGCCACCGACATTTGTGTGGCCCCTTACAGCATTTGAGAACACAGAAAGGGGCAAGAGCTGCAATGAAAGGAACAGGGCCTCACCGTAGACCTGATATTGCCAGTGCAGACTTGGGCTTCTCAGTTTCTAGAATTTTAAGAAATAAGTCTCTATTGTTTTATAGGTTACTCATTCTATAGTCTTTTGCTGTAACAGCCTCAATGAGCTAACATAATCCAGAAGGCCACACCTAGGTTTTCTGGAAAAGACCTCAGCTTGAACTCTGACCTTTTGACTGCAAGTCTGGGTAAGTACATAATTAAAATATAGTCAATCTCCTCATTCAAATTTTGGGGGCAAGCTAAGTAGCGCCTTATAAATTAACAACCAATATTTTAAAACACATTTTAAAAGACAGCAGTCAACTGGCAATATGTTTGAGGATGTGAGTGATAATCACATTCTTCAATTATCCATCTTTTAGTTCATCTTATTAAAGAGAGACTGTGAAAGGCCTTAGGAATGACCTCACAGGGTAAGATTTAGAAATATGAATATGTAGGTTGCCATGTTAATGGGATTAGTTTAGATTCAAAGTCCCCCGGAAGCTCATGTGTTTGGAAGTTGGTTGGATCCTGGCAGCATTACGCTGATCGGTGGATTTCATCCACGGCCACTTCAGCAGCTGAATGCGCTGTCAGGAGGCCGGGCCTGGTGAGAGTCGGGTCCCCGGAGGGTGTGACCTGGAAGGATGTATTTCTGTTCTGGGCTCCTCCCTTCTCTCTCCGCTTCCTGGCTGCACTGGATTGAGCAACTTTTCCTCTGCCATGGCCAGCCCTTTGCCATCCTGTTTCTGCCTTGGAGCCATCCAACCATGGACTAAAACGGTGCACTAAAATAAGCCTCTTCCATAGATGTCAGGCATTTTGTCCTAGAAACGGGAAAGTGACTAAGACAGGGTCTTTCCATGAACATAATACAGCAATAAGATGAAAACTCACTTTATTATTATTTGCTCCACAAGTAAATCTAGCCCAAAGCAGTTTCTTCACTCCCATCAAGAGGGTTTCTACTAGTGACAATGTTAGGAGATCATACTATATAGCAGCTTTACTTTTTTTTTTCCTTTTTTTGGTACTGGGGATCGAACTTTGGACCTTGCACTTGTGAGGCAGGTGGCGGAACCACTGAGCCTAATCCCCTGCCCTTGTTCATCACACAAATGTCTACAAAAAGGGTCTAGTGAGCTATAAATAAAAAGATATAAATTAAATATTTTAAGTAAATATAATGTAATACATAAATGTTTATATATGTAAAATATAGCTATAACATACATGTATGTATATTGTAAAACTCACAAATTATAACAAAGAGCAATGCTTAACTTTGATACAAATCGCAGTTAGTAAAGCCATGCTACCTAAAAAAACAAATGACATAGAGATCCTCAAACAAAATACACCACGACTTTCTAGTGTTCTGCTTTTCATCACAAAAATCTTTAATATTCCATGATATTAAAATAACTTTTCCTGTATTTATGACATTAATGTGCTTAAAAGTGTCT